CACACACACACACACATATGCAAGTGTGTATGTGCCCTTGCTCACAACGTCCTATCTCTCCAGTGGGTTTCAGATTGTAGTTAGCATCTGTTGTTTGCACAGTGGTTTCTAATGTGTCTGCTCCTGGTCAATGTGACGTCTGACTCCAGTTAGAGAAACACAGGGCTAATAAAGTCACTTGCTGATAGAAGATTGGCACTATCTGCCAGCTGTTGTGGTGGCGGGCTACTTAGTTGGCAAAGCCTGAGACCAGCCACTCTATTTCCCAGCATTCCTTTCCCTTATAAAAGATAACAAGCGATTGGGCACCGAGGGTCTCTTGTGAAACGAAAGGCCTGGAGTGCAAAAACAGGATGGGAATTGGCTTTGGGAGAATGTTTTGATCATGACAAGCAGAAACGGCAGGCGTCTAAAAAGTTGGCAGGGAGCTAAGCTAAGACCAAAGTGCAAGGCATGATGGGAATTCATGAGCCTTTGCCAAGGTTTCCTGAGAGCAAAGCTGCTGGAGAGGGAGAAGGGTAAAGATAGGCCCCTAAGATTGGATTCACACATGTATTTTTGTGTGTTTTTCAACATTAGTGTTGTTATTGGCTGTCCAGTGCATGGACTGGTTTGAGATGGTGTTCAACCTGCCTTCTCCTTCCTATCTGGAGAAGGGAAATGACAGAGGAAAAGGGAAATTCCGTGTTCTTCGGGTCGGAATGATGTAGGAGTGAAGCTAGGCGGCGTCCAGCCATAAATACTCTGTTTTTAGGATGTGGTTAACAAGATGAAAGATTTTTTTTACCCCCTACTGGAACACTACTTATACTTGTTCCTGCCTTTCTCCATCAATATTGCCAAGTGTGTACCTAGGTGAACACATTCCTGAGAAGTGTTAATATAAGACATGTTTGTTGGAAAGCATCCACGCTTTAAAAATAGCAGCGCAACTTTGACACAGCTGATTTGAAGTCTGTATTTAGGGATATTTGGTTGTCCTGTTGTTCACTTGAATGTATTTTGAGTAACCATCCTCTTTGCTTCATGCACCAGGTGGGGAGAGGAGAGACACTATGATGGGACATCAAAAAAATATTGGGTGAGTTTTTTCAGTGTGTAAAACACTTTTTTTTGTGTCCTAAATACTGTAACTGTGGTTTTTGCTTCCCAAGAACTTTCTGACATACTTTTTCTAATGAATAAAATAGACCTTTTAAAGGCAGTTTCTGATAGTGTTGTCAGTTCTGTTCATTTCCTAATGTGCATGAATATAACCAGGTATTGTAAATGCATTCAAAATTAAAATCAGTTTCATTTGTAGTAAGTTTGACTCTACTTTCCTTTTCAGATTGCTGCCAACTCCTGGGGAAAGAACTGGGGAGAGAACGGCTACTTCCGAATCGCTCGAGGGGACAATGAGTGTGAGATTGAAACATTTGTGATCGGTGTGTGGGGCAGGATCACAATGGAGGACATGCACAACCATCACCACCACCATCGTCGCAGACACGTTTAGAGACACAACAGATGTTAAAACCACACAAGACCTTTGTTTTTAATCCCACCTATAGCTGGTTTTTACCCGAGAGGAGAAACAAACCATACCAAGAACTTCCCCACATCCAGCTCGGACAGCCACAAAATCAACCCCAGAGCCCCCGAACCCTCTATTTTTATACCTTACTTTCCAATGGGGATCAATACAACCCCTCCACCTTTATCCTTTTAAGAGAACACTCCGCACTCTCCCTTTAACCCAAGGTTTATGGCACCAAAAAACTAAGAAAAACTCGACTAAGCTAAAGCTCTTCTACGTTGCCTTGCAATTAGGCGCCTCAGGTACCTACTGATCCAAAGACCACACTTCCCAGAATCCTCAGCATAATATCTGGTGAAACATGTTCATGTCAAAGTTGGGCGATGACAGAAGGAGAAGCTCAATCTGATCTTTTTTATTCTTCTTTGTGCTTCTTTGTCAACCTGAACCTTTAGTCTTTTCTAGCTTTAAATCTATAATCCACACAGACCTAGTTTCACAAGCTCAGCTTGGAAAAGAGGAAATTTGAGAGTCAGATTATCAGACATCAGGCCCTTTCTGAGAGACACACCCAGCCGAACTGTGTAACATGATAATATATCATTGATGACCTTACTGACATTTCCTTGTCAGCCATACAGACGCACGGTTTTCCTAATTCCCTCAGTTTTAGAGAAGACACTTGTATGGAGTAAGCAGCTGCAGGCGGTAGAGTTTCTCACACATTCCAATGAAAACGTAGACTCTAACACTGGAAACGGGAGGAGATTTATTATAATAAGATTAAAAAAAACCTCTTAATTGTGGTTTTAGGAGGGTTTACAGTGCTTTCGACCACGACCAGCAATCAGAATTACTCCCATCAGACATTTTAAAGCAATTTAATAATGAAACATACTATATCTCGGCCCTTCTTCTCCTTGTTTATACTGGAAAGGACAGTGTCAGTAAGACAAGATTAAACATTTGGTCTTGGCTGCAGGTCAAAAAATAATTTCCAGTCACACTAAATGAAAAAAGTCACCATGAACAATGATAAACATATAAACAAAGGCCATGCTGTCATTCTTGACCCCACTGTCTCATTTGGAAAAATGAAACACTGATGTGATTAAAAAGGTTGTAATTCCTTTAAGACACAGAGCGGTTTTAACCACTGCAAAAGAGAGTGTTTGTGTATGGTAGTCTTAATTTGCCCTGTTCTGTGTTCACTGTAACAATTTGAGCTACGGATGTTATTTTTTTATGTTGCAGTTATATTTTTATTTTACTACGTGTTTAAAGATGTACTGTATGTAGTAACTTTCATAACACACTCATCACTCAGTCGCTTTTCTGCTTAGTTGTAACTGTTTGACCACAGCGAGGAGGATGAGGGGGGGATGCTAATGCTAAAGTCCAGTTTGTGCTACAGTATTTGACTGATGAGTCTTTAGTTCGATGCATTTCGTATGTAATAAACTAAATGTGATGTAAATCCACTTCTAACTAACGCCGAAACACCTGTTCAGGTCACCCAGTTTGCAGATGAGCTGTTTGGCTTTATGTTCTCATATTTTATTTCTCCTTTTTATTACTTTCTGCTGGAAAACTTAACATGTTCCAACTTATCAGCCGTGTGCCTATCTTACACAGCGCTTTATGATGTCTTTATTTCAACTGGTTAAGGCTGATTGAGGGATTTTCAGATCTTCTTGGAGCACGGCCTCACTTGAAAAGGAAAGCATATTATCGCTTACCTTAAATTACACCCTGATGTGCTTCAGCTGTAACTTCAAAAGGCTTTATTTCTATATCGTCGTGTCTTGTGATCTTTAAGGTCCCTGCATCATCTCTCCTTCAGGCATGGATAGGCAGATAGACATAAAAGCAAAGAGAATGTCTGGATGAATAGGCAATGTGCAATGTGGCGGATAGATAAGCATTATTATTGCAATGTACTGAATCTTTGCTTTCATTCTGAAGTGAGTGAGGACAGGGGAAGATGAAGAGCAGCCAATAAACATGAGATGAACAACAGGTTTACAATAAATGACACCAAGGACAATGTGGAACTGAGCTCTTTTGCCTGAAGAGTGATTCATTCTTTGTCAGCAGAAAGGAGGAGTTACTTCTTTTTATATATTTTCATCATGTTACTGTAGCTCCTTTACAAAAGAGAAAACATCAATGGACAAAATGTCAGCTGCTCAGTTAGTTTACATTACTGTATTGCAGTCTTCACTGAATTGCACAGATTGGTTTGTTTAAAGTGCATGTTTTTACCAGTGAAGTTGTTATGCCTTTAAAATGAATTAAGATATAGGGTAGTTACAGACAGTATGACACTGGTGTGAAAAGCAGACGTGACTTTTTTTCATTCAGAGTGAAGTATTGGAAACAAATCAAAGCGTAAATTAAAGAGTAGAGACATCTTATTGCCAATGTAAAATTATTTTGCCTATACGTTGGATTAACAGTTGGCTTGGACCTACAGTACATGCTGTATATACACTGAATACATATAAAAGAAGGGTTAAAAAAACTCTCCTCTTCTCTTTTATAGCATTGGGAAATCAACTATATTACTAAAGAGTCTGCAAAACCCAACTTTATTCCATAGAAATTGGTATTACTTTCAGCAATGGGATTCTCCAACTACACAACCTCTCCTCCAAACCCAGCTGCAGCAGATATTCACTCAAAGTTGTTTATTTTATGTAAAATGAACCACTCCATATTCACTGATGTGTAGACATTATTTATGACAAGATATGTAAATTATATACTTTTATTCTTTGTTTTTCCTGTGCAATGTTTTCTCTCTGTCTCCTGTATTGTGTACACTAAATGCAACAGTGTTCACTTGTGCGGCACAATAAAGTCTTTTCAAAACCACACAGCCTCATTGTGAACACACAAAATGTTACAGTTTGTAGCGTATCACTGAAGCACTGAAACAAGGTGTGATGATCTGGAAAAAATGCCTTATATAGTCTGCATGTATGTAAGTTAGATGGTAGAGAAGGTATGTGATTTTTAGGAACTTTTGGGATCAGTGAGCCACAATGGGAGGGACTGGGTGCAGGGTGTTCAGGGGGAAGCTTCATGGGATGAGGCCGGGTGGGATGAGGACAGTTTTTACAAGGTCCTGCTGTGTCAGCGTACTCTTCCATTACTGAGAGCAATAACTCTGAGCATCAGTCAGTGAAAGACCAGACCAAAGAGTATGCATAATCAATTAATATATATATATATAGGTAGATAAATAATAAGTATACACATACTTATACATACACTGGATCGCACATAAAATATAACAACCTATATAACAACTGACCACCTTTCTATAAGAACCAGCCATTAACTTTTCAGCAATTGAGCTACAGTAGCTCCGTCTGTTGGATCGGACCTCACGGGCCAGCCTTCACTCCCCATGTGCATCAGTGAGCCTTGGCTGCCCATGACCCTGTCTCCGGTTCACCACTTTTCCTTCCTTGGACCACTGCAGACCGGGAACACCCCACAAGAGCAGCAGTTTTGGAGATACTCTGACCCTGTCATCTAGCCATCGCAATGTGGCCATTGTCAAAGTCGCTCAAATCCTCACACTGCCCATTTTTCCTGCTTCTAACACATCAAGTTTGAGGACAAAACGTTCACTTGCTGCCTAATATATCTCACCCACTGACAGGTGCCATTATAACCAGATCATCAGTGTTATTCACTTCACCTGTCAGTGAATTTGTGGGCTTGGCATAGCCGTACAGTATGAATAACACAATAGTAAAAACATACTTTATTTATTCATCAATATGAACACCTGCAGTGTCCATATGTGTTTTTATTTTAACTTTATTTAAACTGAATCATTCTTCATAAATTCTCCAAAAAGTATCTACTCTTAACACAGTACTTTAAATAAATACAATTTCCACCGATTTCCTCTCCTTACATTTGTTTCTGCGTTTCAGTGTGTGTCTGTGTCTCTATGTCCCACATAAACACCTGGGTGAACATCTGCCTCAGAGAGGGACAGTGTTCCAACCTGGACAGAAGACACCCTCTTGTTTGAAGTGAGAGAAATGGCAGGTCTGTAAAAAAAAACGATAATGAGCAAATTGTCACATATATCAACAGGCTGTGTCAGTGAAAACTACCAGGTGTTCTCACTGACACCATGTTCAACAAACACTAAAAGAAGGGTGAGCAGACCTGCCGTGTCCAGCACAGACACCTTGGAGAGACGACCTTAACCTTGCATTCCTGCATCCAATCACTCACCTATGAAACCTTTTAATGGGATTTGAGTCTGTTTACTGCCCACTTTAAGTTATACTTCAACTTTAAGTATACAATTGGTCTGGTCAGTTTCTGCTGGTAACATGTGAGCAGTTTTAAAAGAAAAAACCTTCTCTTGTTGCAATTTTAAAGTCTTGCTTTCAGTAACAGTCTGTCTCAGGAATGTCAGTCGAAACGACCTGTTGCTGAGATGGGAACATTCTGCTTTTTAGTGCAAACTAGACTGCTTCACATTAAAGTTGTTCATATTGCACATATACAACAGAATGAGGAAGATAGTATTACTAGTTTATAAAACCTCATATTGTCTTTCTTACTGCAAGAAAATGGTATTGTGTTGTGTAAAGTGAGTTATGTTTTGAGGTCAAACATAACTCAAATAAAAACAACTGGCAATTTGCTCCCTTGTTTTGAGCAAAGTAATATTGTAGGACTTAAAGTGATATCCAGTATTTTTGAAAACAATTTTGCAATGTGATTTTCTGAGCTGATGAAACCCTAACCCCTGGACTTTGAACTGACCATGTAAACTACTCATTGTGCTCAAAAATATCGTGATAATTGCTCACAATTTACTTATATCTAAAGGGATTCTTCAAATTGTGCTAAAAAAACACCTCCCACCATATATTTCTGCAGTAAACAAATATTACTAGTCATTTAGTTGATTTTATTAAAGTCCGCCAAGTTATCCCGTGGACTATTAAGACCTGGCGTCAGTGAAAGCTTTGGAGTGGGTTATGAAAGAATCAGGAGAAAAGAACACAGTATTACAGAGCATATTGCTCCCAGCAGCCACAGGGACAAGTATGGAAACTTCAAGGGATCTGTCCAGTGACTGTTTACATTTCTCACATTGTTTCTGCGTCACCAGTAGCCAAAGCATTTATTACCTCAGCAGCTCCTGCACCTCTCCTCCCAGCTCATGTGTAAGGAAATGGACGAGTACCAAGAAAAAGGAGGAAGCAGTTAGGGGCAGTGGAACAATCAGTGACTCGAGGTCCCACCCATGGTCTCCCCGGTTCCTCTAAGAACATGATCTTCTCCTCAGTTTCTGTGTAGACTGTTCTGCACACACACATGCAAACATAAACACCCCTCCCAATGCTTTTCCATGTACTGGCTGTTCTTAAGTGTATTCAGGGGACGTCAACAAACATGTTGTGGAAGATCATGCTGGCTGCCAGAGGCAAAACCCTTTCCCATGAACAACAAGCTAATAAAGAACATACTCACTATAAGTTTGGGGGGATTCCTTCCTTGCACTGAAGCAGGAACAAATCAAATAGCTTCAGGGGGAATCCTGAGGCAAACATAGCTTATAGCTTTGACGTATTGTTCTCTGCTGTGTAGACTAATATTTCCACATTATATACCTTCCTACAGAATATTACTACTACTACTACTATGAAGAATTATTACAATTTCCTGAGGGGAAACATTGTTTCAGTTGTCTGAGATGCTGAATTTGCTTCAGTGCACAGAGTTAGACTATTATGACTGTAGATACATGGTCGATGTTTCTCAGCAGTCTGCAGTCTTATCAGATATTTGATCCTGATTTAATCTGTAATACAATGCCTGCAACCCTCACTGAACAAAAGTGTATCCTAGTACTTTTAGTGGAGTGCTTTAGTGCTGCCATCTTCTGGTGTTCTCTCAGTACAGCTGCAAAGATCACACTGACGTTTGAGGACCAACTTTATTGAATGTGCCAAAAGTTGAATAATACCAATATCCCGTTACAACATGATCCATTTTATTAAGTTTTCCTCTGTGCTATCATCATGACTATATTCCTAAAAACAACCCATATTTTAAAAATAAGACTTTTAATAAAAATGTTAAGCAGACCATCGAAGGTCTCCAGGAGCAGCATCAGACGTCATCTCTTCGGTAGATCAGTCAAGAGTGGCTTCTGTTTGTCCTTAATTCAAAGTGGTACTGTCCTCTTTTGTTAAAACAAACTATTTGTCTCCCTCTAGCGGGGGCCATTTCCTCTCCTGCATTCACACATTCTGTAGGCACATATGTAGAAAATACCTGCAACAGACAAAGGCAATGTGTTTGGTTATGTACAGTATTACAGTACAGTCCAGTGACATTCAACAGGTCTGCTAGTTAAACAGTCTGGCTTTGAAGAGTGTTATGTTTCCTACCTATTTTATTTCAGCTTAAACTCTCCTTGTAAATATTTATTAAGATTCCATTCATACTGTATTAATACAAATAGAGATTATCTCAAAATACCTAACAACAACACTTCTTGTCTCCAATATTTGATCGTAACTTCTGTTGTTATTGCTTCTTCTGAGTTCTTTGACAGGTTTGAATAATACTGGGGTTTATGTCTGGACAAAGACTAACCCCCGGCCTTTGTCTTTTCTCACCTGCAAAGAAGGTCATGAGCATGGAAACCCAGCCCAGTATGTAGGACCAGGAGAAGCGCCAGTCACCAAAGCGCCTACCCAGGAAGTTGACTGTCACTCCAGTATAAATAGCCATACCCAGCAGAACAAAGAAAGCTGATGGGGACATAGGAAGGTGCATGTCAGTTATGATTAATGTGAGAGTACGCGCGTGTGTGTGTGTAAATACAGATGAAACAAAACTTACTGGAGACAAAAAACAGAATTCCTGCAGCAAAGGAGCGATTGAATCTTTCAAAGGATGAGAAGTGTGAAAAGGACATGATGCCAGCGATGATGCCTGCGAAGCACGACATCCCTGAAAGGATCATGAAGGCCCTGGTGGCATTCCAGTAAGCTGAAAGGAAACAAGTAGGAGTCATCAAATATGCCATTATGTCTTTACAAACATATAATTACACTTTAATTCATACTGGCATGATAATTGTCAGTATCACCTTAATTTTCAGTGCAGAAAACCAGACTTTTCAGGGTTTATTTGTTGTTCTGTGCAGGGAAATCATTTTAGTTGTAATGTACTTTACACAATCCAACTGTAGAATCCCAATAACAGACCCAAAGATGGGGCAGTATGGGGCATCAGATTTCTCACACTCTTAAGAAAAGGTCTCTTGCATTAGCTGGTGCTCAAATATACAGGGACTTCAGTCAGAGCGTCTGCAGTGACACAGCAGAAACCCACTCCCTCCTGATGAAAACTCAATATGCGCTTTTGATTCATATTAACTGTTGTCTTGGAAGACATCCTGAGTGACTTACCTATGCTGTCAGTCTGCATGTAGCACTTGTTGGACATGCAGTACCTCCACAGACCCTGGTGGGCATAGTTTCCAGAGAGACGGTACTGCATCCAGTAGTCGGTTGCAGTGGAGATCACCAACAGGATATTACCAACAATAGCACAGAACAGGCCCCCTCCCATGAAGCTGTACATCTTGAGATGAGTTAACGGGGCCTCTGAAGAGCAACTGTTATGTAGGGAGGAAAAATCATGGAAGTTCAGGGTTTCTGCAGATATTGTAAAATAATGTTTTGCTATTGACTAATTACACTCTTATTCACACTCACACGTCTGTGTGTCAAGTAGAATTTAACACATTTTGCACTATACGCACACATATACTGCCTGAGGAGCTGCAACTTGCTAAAATAAAAACACTGTATGAATTAAAATATGTGACACTATACGTGTACAATGACAAAACATTAGACATCTCTAAAAATGTACTGGTACTCCACATCTTTATACAAACTCTGCCAACACTTGCACAAAGGATCCATAAGAAAGGGTTGTGGCAGTTAAATCGAATCAGTCAAATTAAATACTCCAAACTGTCCATTTAGAGCGGTTGGAAAACCACATATGATACCAGCCTATCATAAAGCCAATCCACAATAAGGAACTAAACCAAAGAAATGTGAAACAAACATCCAATCTGAGAATATTACTCAATATTTGAACATATAACAAACACATTTGTAGCTCCTCTGACGCCTTAATTTGTAGAAACGAATTCCTACAAACTTTCTATCAAACATATTTACCTCTTCTTTAGTGGAAACATCCCTATTAGTTGAACAGGTGCAAAGCGAAACCAAAGTTAGACCTATAATGTTGCAGTTTGTTGTTGTTTCCCCTTCCCAATCTTCATGTCACACCAGTGATTGTTCAGCAGTAATGACGTTTTATCTGATTCTGCCAGCCTCTGTCCATTCGCAGTCATCATAAATGAAAATGTATTGCTCCAGGATACACACAAAAAAACACTGTGAAATTGTATCCCTTACCTTGTTTCTGGAAATGCACCCTCTCTACTGCCCACCTTTCTGAGGTAGAGATAGAAACGGGTAGAGGGGAAGAGGGAGAGACCTGTTGCTCACTTGGGGTGAAAGAGAGAGAGTCACTGACAATACTACAACCACAAAAGTTGTCGCCTCGTTTTTTTCTGTCGATGAAAGCAAAATCCTTTGCAGCAATCAGTCTCCCTGTGTGGGATGCACTTGAATGAGACACCGTAGGGGCCACAGTGCATGTGACCATGTACATTTGAGTGTGTGTGTGTGGGGGGCGGTGAGGTGAGGCCTTAGAAAAAGGGGTGGTGGTCCATGTTTCTTTTTGGGGGGTTTTGTTTGTTTGTAAATGGTGTGCTCTAGAACTGGGGATATGCATAGGTATGCAGGACTGTCTGTGTCAATGCGACATGCTGAAACACACACTTTTCTTTCAGTGCTGTCACACTGTGGCAGTGTGGAGGGACACATATAGAGGGAGCGCTCTATACAGGCAGTCTCTCTCCCTCTCCTATAGGATTGTCAGTCACACTTTATTTTACTAATAAGACGTGTATCAATTTAGACCAGAACTATAATAATATGCTCTTTATTAGACCATAAATGCCATGATTCCATTATTAAGAAGCATATAAGTTTTTGTTGACACTGTGAGAAAGGTAATAATTCTACTTATTTATTACTGAGATCATACTGGGTAGTGGTGTTGTACTAGAGTGCATTATATTGAGAGGTTTCTAATATTCTGTCCCACATGTGAATGTAAATGAGCTGGCCAAAATACTAGAAACACCTCAAGAGAATGCAGTCCAGTTCAACACGACTGCAAACTACAACCTCAATAATAAACATGTAGTTAAATCAATGGCTCTCTGACAGCATCCATCCTGGTCCGAAAAGTGAAAAGTGTTCTGATATAACTTTTGTTATGGATTGGTGCTATACAAATAAAACTGAATTGAACTGAATTGAATTTATAGCAGATCTGTTGTATTGGATTCAATTGTTTGTACAAGTGTACTTAATAAAGTGGCCAGTGAACGTATATCTCTACAAATCTTCATTCAAATGCAACTAAAATCGAGACAAACATTCTTTCCATACTAAATATCATGTTTTGAATGATATGTCAAACGATGATGTCTTACTGTAATTTGTACTGTATGCACAACACTTTCCATTTCGCCTTGTTTGATCAAATTTACTAAAACTATTTAAAAATACACCTAAAACCAGCAGAATGACTGATGATGAGAATTTTCTCACCAAGATGTTGACTGTTTTAATTTTAAACAGACAAAATCCCCTAGTTTTGCACATTTGATGTAATTTCCTCAATTTTTAAGTTAACGTTTTTAACTTATCAAAGCCAGCGATAATATATATGCTGTAATGATGTCACATGAACTTATAAACAGTAATATGACCATAATGACACGATAAAAAACTAAACGGGATCTGAATCTCACAGAAATGTCATTCTAATTTTAGCTGGCAATTCAGTTTAGGATCAGCTTTTCAACCAACCTTAAAGGACCAGTGTGTAGCATTCTGTGGCACCTAGAGGCGTGGTACAGATTACAACCCCCTCACCTCAACTTCACATTTTAAGCATGTTGGAGAAACGCAAAAGGCCCTACCTAGAGCCA